CCCCAAAACCCCAAAACCCCAAAACCCCAAAACCCCTGTTAAATATAAAAATTGGTTAAAATGTCATCTGCCTTGCTCAGATACCTTTCCCAAAACTACACTTATGGAGCTAAGTTTGGAATCCTTGCTCTCTTAGCTGTCAGTAGTTTAGGTAAGTGGTTTATAATTCTGTTTTCATGGAAGTCCTGAAGATATTTTGCTTGGATTACTTACGAAAGTGGCAACTTTTAAGCTATGTTAAGATTAGAACATGAAATAAGCTTATAGTTGTGAGTTTGCTCGCGATTGTCTTTGTTCTCAGCTTGGCCCTCAAATTCATGACTAAAGGATCATCAGAGATTGAAGGTAAGAAGAATTAATCCGCAAAGAGTGACTTAATCTCAAGAGGCGTTTATTGTTGGAAAAGATGCCATTTCACCTTATAAACTGGTATCTGATATTTTTAAAATGTTAATATTTTTCTTCAGCCTCTTATATACCTTTATAAACTCATTCTGTCCAAAAAGTCCTAATTTTTACCACCGAGAATTAAATTTAAGATATCCCATTCAACTCTAGTTCTAGATTTCTTGTAGCCTAATCTCTCTAGAAGAAAGTTCCCAGAAAAGAACGAGTCAAAGTGAAAGAGGCGAAGAAGACATCGCACCTGTACGAACAAATTATGATGTTATAGGTCAAGTACTCATCCTTGAATAATGAGGAAGAGACCATCCAGGATGTATCTTATGTAGACCCTCAAAAGAAAAATATATGCAAAAGAAAATGCATCTGTGCAGCCAAGTGGATAATGCTGATTCTAGAAGTGATCATTGTAGTTCTTTTAGTTCTATTTGCAAGCCTTTTGGCTGCTTTTAACCTCTTTTCGTCGTATCTTCTAGCGGCAGTGATCACATGGTCTCTCCTCATGAGTTTTATACTATTTCTTTGGTATTTGTATAATTGGGTTATTGGGAATTATGGTAAAATCTATTTTTCAAAAGCAAGGTATGTACTAATCCCAGCTATATTGCTATTTTGAGCAATTTATGCATCCTTCATCTTTTGGAGTGGCGCATGCCTATGTATTTTAAATGACACTTTGCCTGGAATCCAATCAGGAGAGTATCTATTCCACACTGCTTTCATGAGGTATTATCATTCAGAAACATGACCAGTAGGAGACAAACCTTGTTTGGTGTATGCCACTCTTCCTGAAAATGCGGATCAAAGTGTATTCATCAATTTCCATATCAATGCGGATTCGTGTGAAAACAGAAAATGCAGCCCAGTCTTAGAGTACAGAGAGTATTCATCCAATTCTTGGCAAAGCATTGTTCCAATCCAAGGAGAATATGAGTCGCCTCCTTCAGAATACAGTCAGAGGTATATATTCACTGCCCTTTTAAAAGATTTGAGCCCTAAAACTCTTTACGAATTCAGGATCCAGGAACCTACATGGGACGAAGGTAAACTGAATTTTTAACCAAATATCTAGATTCAGAACAGAATGTAATGTATTCCTACAAAACCTTTGACCCAGAAAACTTGAAAATCGTTCAAGGAGGTGACTCTGGCAACACTAAAGAAGCAATTGAGATGAACCAAAACAGCTTGAAAAACATCAACCCTGATCTCGTGATGATCGGAGGTGATATTGCATATGACAATAACATTGCAACATGATATCAAACATGGGATTACCTGCTTAAGAATCTTCTTCTTCAAAAATTTGATGAAGAGACAAATACTCACAGAGTAATTCCTATTATATTTGCGACTGGGAACCATGATCTTGGAGTAGACTCCTATAATAATGCAATAATTCCTCACAACAAGCATGCTCCTGTATTTAAGCATTATTTTCCGCAAAATACATATGAAGGAAAAGTGCCAAATATTTATCAAAGAAAATCCTATTTCTCCCATAAAATCTCTGACAGGATACTGATCATCACTGCTGATATGGCATATGAGACTAAAATAGAGGGTGAGCAAGCAGAATGGATGGAAAAAATTCTGAGTGAATTTGAAAATCCCATCAACTCAGGCTTACCATCTTTCTTCAAAGGCAGTAAAATTAAGCTTGCCCAGTACCACGGTCCAATTTATACGTCAATAAAACAAGGAAGTCAACATGATGAAGAAGTCATAGAGAAAGGGCTGAAATACTTCACTCCTCTATTTGATAAATACAATGTAAAGATAGCATTCGAGAATCATTCCCATTCTTTCAAAAGAAGTAAACCAATCAAGAACGGGGTCATAGATGAAGAAGGAACCTATTATCTCGGTGAAGGTTCATGGGGAGTTTCGAAGCTGGGAAAGGTCATAATCCCTCAAAACACTGACTTACATGAAACTACTAGTCAGGGATTCAGCATCTGGGGCCTTAAAATTGACTCCACTAACACAATCAAAGCTACTGCTTACGACACAGATTACTCTATTATTGATCAGCTAGAAATAGATATATAATCCATATTGAAAAAGACATTCCTTAAGCTCAATTTTTCTTTAAAAGCAAGGGGTTTTGGGGTTTTGGGGTTTTGGGG